CTGGGTTACATTTTGTTGGAATCAGCAGGCTAGAGAAAAACAAGGCACTGATGAATTGTGTTGGATTGAACAGGCAGTGTTTTTTACTAGTTACTGTTAGGATGGAATTGAAAGGATAGGGGCATCTGTCTAATATGGTACAGTAGGGAAGGGAGAGGTGAGCTGGACATTAACTGACACTATAGGGTGCTGTTCAAACACCAGGTATACTAGCTGTGTTTTAAGCCTCCCCATGCTGTCATTTACAGGTATGTTGCCAAAGAGCAAAATTAGCGGCACAAGTATGACAGTGACTTTCACCCTTTTCATTACTTTTGTTTGGTTTTGCTTTGACGGGGGGGGGATTGAGGTTGGGGGATAGAAGAGTTTTTGGGGGAGGGGGCAGCAAGTGGCAAATAAACAATGCTCTACATGAGGACTTTTTGAAAATTACTTGGATAATGGAATCTGTGCCAGAGAAAAAACATGTTTTAGCAACAAACAAAGTGGCTGAACTTTTAGTATTTTGAATGCTTTCACATGCAGAAGTACAGTAAAATCTTAATAACTTACATGTATTTTAATTTTTGTTTTCCTTTTGGATCAGCTTCACAAAAAATTCAAGATACTTGTAAGGGGATGAAGTGGTACAGGCATTTCAAGTTACATAAAAGTCTTGGTTTTTTTGGCAGGAATGAAGCATTTGTCTCTAGTTTCGACAACAAGACAGAGAAATAAGGGTATCTCTGGCATACATACAGAACAGAAGGAATGAATAGGGCACCCTCAACTGGTAAAAAAAGTTATGTACATGTAACTAGAGATGTACATGTACCTTGAATTATTTAAGTGCATGTTAAAAAATTGCTAGACACTTTACTGAGCTTGTACAGAGGGGCGTATGTACATGTATGTATGGGTACATGTACTTGTAACTGGGCCACGCAAAAAAATATTAAAACCATAATCTCCGAAATTAAAAAATGTCTCTCACAAATAATCGGGTTCCGAGGTCGGCAGTCGCAAACATTATTTGATCTGTCTTAAAATCAACTGCAAAAAAAAAAACAACAACAAGTAAATGAAAATGGATGTGCATTGCACAACACAAGTTAAAAAAAAAGCCCAAAAGCACCCCAAACCATCATTTTACAACTGGACCGATCACATTGTCTTCAAGTATGTTTCTGAAAAATGCAGTCCAACATACTTATCATTGCAATTCTCCGGCATCCTTCAAAATCTCACGATGATGTTAGAGAAACATTTTGCTGCATCGTGGGCTATTTGACCTTTGACATCAACCCAGGTAGTGCTCCGTCATTTTCATTCGATATTCATGAGCCCCTCCATGGAATGGCGATGCTCCTGGATTTTTCTCTTCGTGTCAACATGTCTCCAAAAAAATCTGTCAAACTGAATGACGTTCGCAAAAAAATGACGTCCGAGACATAAACGACGATTCATGATGAAAATGTAATACTCAGAGTTGTTAATTTTGATTTAATTTTCCGCAGGGATATCTCCAAAATAAGCGGCAAAGTGAACATTGTGCATGGAATTTTCAAGCACTAAATGTGACAGTGTTTTCGGCATTGTCGAACGTCATGCATTTTCCATTAAAATTCTCAAACATCAAAATTCTGTCAACAAGACGTTTGCAACGAACATATTGTACTCATGATACATTTTTGATTCAGCAAAACTTAAAGATTATTTTTGGTGGTTTAAAGTTATAAGACCTGGTAGATATGTTGGTATAGTGAGAGTGATTATAGACAGTAAGAGAATGAAGAGATCCAAACTTATCTCATCATTTTTCATCAATTTTGTGCCCTTTTTTTTCATGGCTTGTATTGTTTTTAAGTCATTTTTTTAAAAGTGCTTTAAAATGCATTAGTTGAAAAATATACTGGATTCTTCTTGTTGAAAGTTCAAGTTTTGAAATCAAGTCCTCTGGCGCAAACACTTTAGCATGAAATTTAAATGCATTCAACTCCATTTGATTTGCACTGATAGCCAACCAAAAGTCCACCAAATGTACTCATTATTCCTAATTATCCCCATATAATCATTTTGATAAATCTGAAGGTGCTAATTTGTATTCTACATGATCAAAGTCACTCTTTTAGAAGTTTTGAAATAAGATATGCAGAGTTGCATTTTGGTCCATTTTATAAAGAACATGCCACATGCTCACAAATGTTAAAATCTATAAAACTTCCCAGGGAGATGCCACTGTGACGTCACTTCGTACATCATGAGGAGTTGAGGTTTCGCCTACCCTGTGAAATTGATAATGATCAGAACTTGTGCACTGTGTGAAGCAAAAATCGTAACTTTGAATGATGTCACAAAGTACCCACACATCTACTTGGTAAAAAAAGAATTTTGAAAGTACCTTGTTTTAATTCCAAAGATATATTGAAAAGAATGTTAAAATATGAGAAATAAAAAATGATGACGTCATCACCCCACCTTAATTTTCAGCAAAAAAATCATGGTTTCCCCATATACGGTACAAAGTGCCATTCCAATTGGACCTACCGTTCATGAGATTAAGCGGCTTAAAATTCACACATAAATAATGACGTGACGTCATTTTCGCAAAAGACAATGCTATATTTTTATTTATTAGACAAATCTGAGATCCAATAAAAGCAAA